CTAACACCATCTGGGGAGGAGCATAAGTACTGTAATCTTTGGACTCGCACCCGAACTTTGGATTAGTCCCATAGGCGACTCAAAGAGTCGAAGGGGATACCGGAGGGTTCTGATTTGCCTCAAAGAGGTAATTAGAATCAGTTTCTAAAAAAAAAAAAAGAATGAAGGAGAGAGAGAAATCATAGAGTGAGCTCACCTCTAATTTGTGTGTGCATTAAATAATTTTTTCCTCGTAGAGAGTCTATTTCCCCTTAAACTTTATTATATTTAAATACAACATTATTTTAAATTACACTAATAATACCCATATATTAAGTGGAGACATAGGTTGTTTGTATATATGCTAAATACTACACTCCCAATAAGGAATGTAAACAATTTATACCTCGGACGTTAGGCACACTCGTGGCTTATTATTCCACATATAAAGCACATATATTGAGAACATCTATGATGCGCGGACACGGGACACGACACGACACGACACGCCGACACGTTAATTCTAAAAAATATCATATTTGGACACGTTTTGATATTAAATAAAATTTTAATATATAATATAATTTACATTTAATACATATAGCAACTCATAATAACTCATATACTAATCAAATATTCAAATTTCATAACGTAAATATTAAAAAATAATAATAGAACATCTCAAGAGTACAGAATATAGAAAAATAGAAAAATTATTATAATGATTGAAGAGTTACAAATCCACAAAAAACAAAAACTAAAAAAAAAAAATAAATAAATAAATAAAACTAAAGTAAACACAACTAGGAGATGTAGTAGATAGAAAGGATAAGGACGACCTTCACCAAAAAAAGAAAAGAAAGGATAAGGACGATTACCAAAAGAAAAGAAAGGATAAGGAAGCATCAAGAATTGTATTTTCCAAATAGTTTATTGCTCATGCGTTGTAGGTCTGCTCCAGCAAAAAATTTATTCAGAGAGATGCGAAGATGATATTCTTGAAGAAAAGGAAAAAGAAGAGAAGAATGCACACAAAGAACAAAAAGAAGAAAAAGAAAAAGCTCAGGTGCAGGTAAAGAAAGGGCAGAGTTTAAAGTCGTTAATGGAGGAAGAGAAGAGAAAAAAATGAGAACTTAGTGATGATGCGATGCCACTCTGAATGAAGATGACCGGCGACGACCGACGACCGACTAGCACCCTCCTCCAGCGAAAAAGAAAGGGTTCCAGATTTTTTAAATTTTATTAAATATTTTTTATTTTTTTTAATTTTATTTTAATTTTATTTTTACAAAAAAAATACCAAAACGTGTCCAAATACGTTGACCACGTGTCGGCTTCGGTCAAACTCGCGTGTCCCACAGTCAACATGTCCTAAAAAGTTGATCGCGTGTCGGACGCGTGTCCGAGCGTGTCCGTGTCGGACACGCATTTTTGGCCAAAAATGACGTGTCCGTGTTTCAGAGGAGAACAATATCGTTTTATAGTCGCTATATATATGCTTAGTAATATATAGAAAATAGAAGTATTGATTTCCCGAGAGACAAAAAAAGAGAGGAAACGTAGCCTGAGCTCCAGTTGCAGTATTCGTCTCCTATATATGTAACCACCTATTTAACTACTACCATTAATCAACTCTAATTCTCTTAATTTGTGAACGTACGTATAGTTAATAATAATGCAAAAATTAAAGAAAACGTATAAGCATATACATACACTCAAGCATTTGCCACAAGAATCTCTGCCATGAGGCCCAACAGCAACAGGTCCACAGAAGGCAGTCCAACCATATTTTGACGCTAGGACAAGGGCTTGTTAGCATTCGAGGGAGAGCAATATCAAATTATAATAGCTTATTTAGCGTAAGAGAATTGAATATGTGGAAGTCAGAGAATATGTCTGATTCTCTCCAGCATCATTTTTGGGAGAAATTTAAATCTTTAATCTTGGGATCCATCCCGAATTAGATTAATTGCAAATTGATAAACCGGTTGGAATATCTTCAAAAAAAAAAAAAAAAATCCAATTAATCTGCTGAGGTTTTACAAATTGTATGTAGTCCTCACGTTATTCGCACTCTGACCACTCCCTAACATTGCTCCTATCAGCCACCACACACACCACACCATGATCACTAACCTTAACCTTCTACCCATTCTCTGCCTACCCTTCTGATCTTTTGTGTTTAGAGTAGATGCTCTTGTGTGTATTTATACATATGCAAATAACGTATTTCACATGTATTATATATGTAAATAACTATTAAATTAATTTTTAATGCAAATAACGATTAGATCTTACTCGTGAAATACGTATTGTGGAGCACGCTTGCTAGCCAGCGTGCTTAATCCCTTGGTATGAATTAAGAAGAAAATTAACAAAACTCTTTCTAATAATTAAATAAACTAAAGTGCGGGTGATTTATTTGATGAAAAGCCCACTCTCAATTTTCGCCCTTTTCTCTTGTTTGTTCATTCTTGCTGAAGCTAGTGCTGCCGCGGGCCTTCAACATTTTTTATTGGGTGGAATAATTTAGATGAAATGGGGGAATGGAAGTGAAATTGAAATAAAAATAGTATATTCATTCTTATAATTGGTAGGCATAAATAAAAAATGAGTGATGACTTCCGTATACAATAATTGATAAATAAAAATATACATAGAGTTAATTTATAGATTTTATTGTTATGTATGAATGGGAAGGAAATGATGACCTAAGTATCCATTAATTAATTAAAAAAATAAGTTTATAAACTTTAAGACTAAATGGGCTTGCTTTGAAATTTGAGCCAATTAAGTTTTTGGACCAGGCTCGGTCCAGATTTGCCTAGAATAGGCTTTTAAGCCTACAACAATGTGGGTTAACTTAAAAAAAAAAGTAGAATTCAAAAGGTGAGTCAAGATAAATTGAACCATTTTTTACAACTATATTTTGGTAATTAATATTCTTATTAGGTATAAGTTATTCTAACTATCTATTTTTCATGTTTACCTTACCTATCATTCAGTAGCCATGAATAAAAAAGATAGATAATCCTTGTTATTAAAATAATGTTAGGAAGGCATATAGGATCTTTCAATTTATGACGAGTGTTATAGTTAGTATGGTTAGCTTAGAGCGATAAGTCAGCATGGTTATTTTTTGTTTTGTTTTTTTTTTTAGTTTTTCGGTCCTCAGCAAATTTCACGATGTCCACTTTAGTCCCTAACAAATAAAAAGGTTATTCGTGGTCCTTAAGAAATTCAAAATGGATCCATTTTAGTCCTTTTAAGGAACTAATGTGGGTCTTTTTTGAATTTGTGAGAGACCATGATTTCAACTAAATGAGTCCATTTTGAATTTCTTAGGGACCACAAATAGTCTTTTTATTTGCTAAGAAATAAAGCGGGCATCGTGAAATATACTAAAGACCAAAAATGATATTTACTCTTTTTTTTTTGTTTCTTGGTTGAGGTAATGACCCCAATCATGCTAAGAAAAAGATAAACAACGAGTATTACCAATATCACTTAGATCAACTAAGTACAATAAAAAAATACCAGGAGGAGGAGACGGAAAAGAACAAAAGTCTTCAAGTGCCGGATTAACCAAAGGTAAATTTGATAGCTAATCTGCACAACAGTTACTCTCTCTATACATGTGTTTTATATTCACTGATCATTCTCTGTTCATCCATGCCCGTATACAAGAAATCATGTGATACTCATAGGCTGGCTCATCTCTTTTGGTAAGCCAAGTGACTGCCGTTGCCGAGTCACTTTCTATAATCACCTTTCTTCAACCTCTTTCCCAAGATGCCAAGTACTATTTAACATATTATTTATTAGCTCGCCTACTTACTTTCTCCTTCATTTGTTCACGAATAAATCTAATTTTAACAACGCTGATATATATAAATTATAGGAAAAATATTTGTCCTTTTAAATGACACAACTTGTGTCATTTTACTCTCACAAAGATGTGGGACCTACACCCTTATTTTTTTTGTCCACTCTCTATTCTATGATTTATCTCTTTCTCTCACTTAAAATGACACAACTTTACATACTTTAAAATGACACACACTTTTCTCATAAACTATAAAGGTAGAAAGAGGAAACATAATTAGACTTTACTATACGTAAATGGTAAAATCATTTCTACAGTCGCTTTACGTACAACAATTACAAGTGTATTTTTATAATTCCCCACATTTAATGTTTTCATTTTTTGTATAGTTATGATTATCCATATTTAATGATTTAACGTATATATATGGCAAGTATTTGACTGTTGCACATACAACGGCCGCAAAAATGTTAACCCCTAATTAATACAACATTATTTTTAACACTAATATTGCCCTATATATATATATATATATATATATATATTCATTCAGTGGAGACATAGGCTGTTAGTATGTTAAATAGTACACTCAGGAATGTAAACAATTTATAGCAATCGAGCTGTACCCCAGGTGGGATTCCATCTTTTTGTCGGACGTTAGGCACACTCATGGTTAATGGTTTGTTATTTCACATATAAAGCACATGTTCGTCCTCTTCTCTAAACGATCGACCCTCCTACTCTTCAACACTACTTCTTTTCTCTCTTACGCTCTTCCATTGGACCATTGGCAAGGTGATGATCATCTCTTCTTACCTTTTCATCAACCAACCACACATTTTCACTCCATTAATTCATGCCAATATATAGTTTTTTAATTTTACTCTTCATTTATAATTGTTTATAATTAATTAACTTAATAATAGTTTCCGCATATATTTATATATTATAAATGGTCATTTTTCCTACTGAATATTAAGCTTTTGTTTGTTTGACAAAAATGTTATTTTATTAAATAAGGTTGCATCATGCAAAATTAGAAAGCTTTCCTCCTCTATTGATATTTGCTTCTTGAGCAATAAGCAGTGAGAAGAAGACCTGTGTTTAATTACTATATATATATAGATATTTGGATCTATATCTGAGACTTGTTGGTTCCCAAGAAACTATACTGAAACGTTAAAGTATTCAGGATATGGAAGTGGAGGGTGGCAACAATTTTAACGGGGGAGTACGGAGGAGGAGAGGATGCACGTTTGAGAAAAACGACTTCTTCCCGGAGGAGTCGTTTAAGAGTTGGGGTAACTATGGAAAAGCGTTGATGGAGACACCGTTCAGGTTGAAGGATAGGGTCATGGCAAGATCCAATGATGACACGGAGCTGGTGGAGATGAAGGCTCGGAGTAACCACCAAATGAAGAGGACGCTCAATTGGTGGGACCTCATGTGGTTCGGCATCGGCGGTGTCATCGGCTCCGGAATATTCGTCCTCACCGGACTTGAGGCACGTGATGCTGCGGGCCCCGCAGTCGTGTTGTCCTACGTCGTCTCCGGCATCTCCGCCTTGCTCTGCGTCTTTTGCTACACGGAATTCGCCGTCGAAATTCCCGTCGCAGGTCCTGCCCCCCACCCTACACTCTTTCTTTTACATATAGCCCATATTTAATTTTTCATACAATATAAATATCATAATTGTTTTTTATATCCTTTCTTCACTGATATTAAAATCGGGAAAATAACAAATCAGGCTTTTTTTTCGAAAAAAATAAATACAAAAAATAAATAAATTACTAATTACAAGATGCCATTCCAATTTGAATAGAGAGAGAGGGAGAGAAAATTGGAAACATAGATTGAACATAGTAGTGCGAGAAGTGGAATGGAATACACAAACCTAGAAAACAAGCTGCCACAGTCACATTAGCCTCTGGTTGCTTATGAAGTGCTTATTGATATCAAGGGAAAGCCTTGATGAGAGATATGTACAATGTAATAAGTTATGTGTTCGATTCTTTAATATATTAAAAAAAAAATTGATACCAAGAGCATGCATAGCACGTGTCATGGTGCAAAAAGATGGGCTCTGGACAAACAAATACTTTTTTTTTTCTACCTCTGTGTTTCCCTTTTCAGCAATTTTCATGATACCCTATGCTTTCTTTCTATGCATGTGCAAATGAAAATTATTGGTGAGAGAGACGCAAGCACTCACTTTTCAACTATATATGCCAATCAATCTCACAACTCTTCAATGCCCGCAACAGCAACGAAGGAACAACAATTTTAAAAAACAAATCAGCATGCAGTTTTTAGGCAGCGTTTGGTACAAGAATTTTGGTCGGATTTCCGGCAAATTGAATTTTTTTAAATTTTAAATTTTTGGATATTATCGTAAACTGAATATAAAAATTATATTTTTGAAAATCGAGATTCCCGGATAAAAAAAAAATTATTCTCTACCAAAAATCATATTAATGAAAAGCACGTCACCGTCCTCAGCAGAAATTTTTTGTTTATAGAGTGGCTCCTCGTTTAGCCCAAAACAAAACAAGTACAACGCTTTGAAATAAACCAAGGGAGGGTTTGCGTGTGACAGATACTGAAAAGTAAACTTTTTTTTTTTGTTTATTTTTTGGTGGATTTTTTTTGTTCATATGTAGGAATAAATATTTGGTACTGCTGTTGTACCTGAATTCAGTGCATCTCATCAATGAGAATATTACACATTAGAGGAGAGAGAAAAAATTTGACAAAAAAATAAAATTTTAACTAACATGTAATATTTTCATTGGTGGAATGCACTGAATCTTTGGTACAATAGTAGTATCAAAGATTTATTCCATATCTAGGAGCAGGACACCCGTGAATAAGTTTTTATGAAAACTATTTTTATAGCATAATTTTTTACGTATTTTTCAAAATTATTCATTTTAATTTATAAAAAATTCAAACATTTTTATATTTATTTAAAAAAAATAGTAAATTATTTTAAAGTTTTAAATATAATTTTTTAATTCCAAAAACTCTTTTTAAACAAAAAAAAAATACAAATAAAGGGGCTCTTAATGTGATGCTTGCATCTAAGTATCTAACTAATCATGCTTTGACATCTAATACAAAAATTAAATTTAATGTGAACATATAGTAACTTAATTAATTATTTTTCTCTTTATTGTTCAGGTGGGTCATTTGCCTACTTAAGGGTGGAGCTGGGAGACTTTGTGGCCTTCATAGCTGCCGGAAACATCCTCCTTGAGTATGTAATAGGCCAAGCCGCAGTAGCTAGGTCATGGACCTCTCACTTTGCCACATTGTGCAACAAACACCCTAATGACTTTCGTATAATAGTCCACGACATGGACCCAATCTATGGCCATCTTGACCCTATAGCTGTTATAGTCCTCATAGCCATCGCAACCCTTGCAGTGTGTAGCACCAAAGGCTCTTCCATCTTCAACAACATTGCCACAGTCGTCCACCTAGTTGTTCTTGCCTTCATCGTCATTGGTGGCCTCTCCAAAGCCAACCCCGAAAACTATACTTCTTTTGCTCCTTTCGGTGCCCGAGGTGTGTTTAAAGCTTCAGCTGTGCTTTTCTTTGCTTATGTAGGGTTTGATGCAGTGTCAACAATGGCTGAGGAGACTAAGAACCCTGCAAGGGACATTCCTATTGGTCTTGTTGGCTCAATGGTGATTACAACGTTTGTATATTGCTTACTAGCAGTAACACTATGCCTTATGCAGGACTACAAGACCATAGATGTAAATGCACCCTTTTCAGTTGCTTTTACTGCTGTAGGCTGGAACTGGGCAAAGTACATTGTTGCATTGGGAGCATTGAAAGGAATGACCACTGTGTTGTTGGTGACTACAGTTGGTTCATCTCGTTATCTAACCCACATTGCACGTACGCACATGATGCCTCCTTGGTTTGCTCATGTTGATGAGAGAACTGGGACACCTTTGAATGCTACATTCTCAATGCTTGCAGCTACATCTTTGATTGCTTTATTCACAGATCTTGGTATTCTCTCCAACCTCTTGTCAATTTCCACTCTCTTTATCTTCATGCTTGTGGCAGTTGGGCTTTTGGTGCGCCGCTACTATTCAAGTGGAGTAACTACGAAAGGGAATCAAGTGAAGCTCATTGTGTGCCTTGTGCTAATTATTGGGTCTTCATGTGGCTTTTCTGCTTATTGGGCAAACAGTGATGGTTGGATTGGGTGGGCAATAACTGTGCCATTGTGGCTTTTGGGGACTGTAGGTCTTTGGCTTGGTGTTCCACAGGCAAGGCAGCCAAAACTTTGGGGGGTTCCTTTAGTTCCATGGCTACCTTCTTTATCTATTGCCATTAACATATTCCTTCTTGGATCTATTGACAAAGATTCATATATCAGGTTTGGGATTTGGACAGGGATTCTCTTCGTTTACTATGTTCTCTTTGGGCTACATGCTTCTTTTGACACAGCAAAGGAGTTTGAGAGCAAAAATAGTAATGAGGAGGTTGATACGGAGTTGAAAAAGGTAGAAGAGGGAGTGCAACGTGTAAAAAGTTAAACGATAGCTAGTCAACTAAAGTATCTTAATTAGTCCTGTTTCAAATTCTTTCATTAATTTCAAAATGAGAAGAGTTTTTTACAATATACTACTACAAAATTTCCAATCACCGAGGGAAAAATTCCCTTGCAAAACAGCAAAATTCTCTTGCAAAATCTGTTGGGATAAATTTTAAATGTCCGTTTTTTAGCAGTTTTGGTTTTTTAGTTTCTTGTGTCAGTTAGAATATTAATGAGTCAGTTATGTCAGTTATAAAGTAATGAGGGTGTTATGTGTGGAGTTATGTTGGTCAGTTTTATAGCTTATAAATAGCCTTTGATAGTTTGTATGAAATGAAGATCAAGAGAAAAAGAGAAAGAGCAAGAAAGCAAGAATAGAAAAGAAAAGTTTTTTTTGTAGATACACAAGTCTGGTTGTCTCTTGCATCTGTGTGGATATTCAATTCTAACAAATTGGTATCAGAGCTTGGGCTATGGAGGAAAAGAACGAGATGGAAGTGCCACTCTTTTATGGAGATAAAGATGAAGCATTGGTCTTCTTACTTTGTCTAAAAGAATATTTTCTGAGAGAAAAAACATTTGAAGAGAACAAATGGCAGGTAGCCATGAGAAGACTCAGAGGAAGCGCAATCAAATGGTTCCGTACATGGAACTGCCGCGACTTTAATAATATGTGGAAGGATTTTCTAATGGCCTTCATAACAAAATACTTGCCTGGACGTTTTGATCTGATTAATGAAGAAGATGAAATCTTCAATGATGATGATGAAGATGAGGAAAATGATGCGGATGAAGAAGAGATCGAGATGGCGGAATTCGAGGTTGCCAACGGCAACGCATCCGCGGAGGAGATTGACGTGTCAGAACGCGTAAGAAACGACTCGGAGAAGAAGACGATGGAGATGACTGCGGCCGAAGGAGCCGAGATAGAAGAGGAGGAGAACGAAGGAGCTGAGATAGAAGATGAGGAGAACGAAGGAGCCAAGATCGAAGCAGAGAAGGACAGGAACGACGAGTCCATTGTCGAGGTAGAAGACTTCGTGGAACCTGAGTGTCTGGAGACTGAGTCGAAAATCGGAAAGGAGATTGAGAAGCCGAGGTGCTTGATGGAGACCGACATGGAGGAGACTGCGAATCCGAGTTCCGTGTTGATAACCGGGATGGGGGAGATCCCGGCAAAATCACCGAGTTCATGTTTTGGAGAAGAGCTCGACCCCGGCGTGATGAGGTTGATGTCGGAGACCGACATAGGCGCGTTTCAGGTTGGAAGTCAAAAGTCGGAGACTGCATTGAATTCATGGTGGAAGTGGAAGATGTCGACTCCACCGAAAAGAGACCATTTCCCTGGAGGACGGTTGTCTGAGATTCTATCGATGAGGCGCGTGGAAGCTGGACTTGATGAAGAAGAACCTGGCGATGAAGAAACTGAGAGCGAAAAAATGGAAGGTGCATTTGAAGAAAAGGATGTGGTCTTGAAGAGAAAAAGAGGTTTTGTTCACAATACCAATGATGCAGAAATTGGGATTGGACGAGGAAATAAAATTGTGAAAGCAGCTGATGAAGTGGCGAATGAAACTGAGAAGAATTTGGGTGAAGATAAAGAAAATGGAAACAAGGAAAGTCCTGCTAATGAAACTGAAAATATCAAATTGAAGAAGCCACCGGATAAAATAAAATATGTTCAGAAAAATAATTGCAGGGGAGATATTTTTTTTGAGTTAATTAAGTTGGAAGGTGTTAGATGTTTTTTGTCAGTGATCAAGATTGAAGAAAACAGGCGCGATCAGAAAGTTGAAGAAAAGCAGAAGCAACGCGAAGAAAGAAAGAAGAATTTAAAATTTATGGGGGAGTTTTGTTGGGATAAATTTTAAATGTCTGTTTTTTAGCAGTTTTGGTTTTTTAGTTTCTTGTGTCAGTTAGAATATTAATGAGTCAGTTATGTCAGTTAGAATATTAATGAGTCAGTTATGTCAGTTATAAAGTAATGAGGGTGTTATGTGTGGAGTTATGTTGGTCAGTTTTATAGCTTATAAATAGCCTTTGATAGTTTGTATGAAATGAAGATCAAGAGAAAAAGAGAAAGAGCAAGAAAGCAAGAATAGAAAAGAAAAGTTTTTTTGTAGATACACAAGTCTGGTTGTCTCTTGCATCTGTGTGGATATTCAATTCTAACAAAATCTGTCAGCGACGAAATTTGCGAGGGAACACGGTCCCTCGCTAAAACCCTCGTCGCAAATAGATTTGCAAGGAAAATTTGTCATATAACAATTCCCTCACAAATTGCTACGGAAAAGGTCTCTTACAAAAAAGTAAATTTTCCTCGCTAACAACAGACCTATCTACAGTGTTTTTTCCTCACAGATTGCGACGAAAATCGCGAGTATAATTTTCCTCTCAAATTTCCGTAGCAGAATTTGCAAGGGATATATTAAATTTCCGTTGCAAAATTTACAAGGGAACATTTTAATTTTCCCTCGCAAAAGGCTTCGAATTTTGCAAGGGAACATTTTGATTTTCCATCGCAAAAGGCTACAAATTTTGCAAGGGAATTTTGAAAATTTCCGCCACAAATTCTGGAATTAAAATAAAAAAAATAAAAAAATGTATTAAACTTTTATTAATTTTCCTGTAAACAACAAGCATTCCAAATGAACATAAATACATAAATTGAGCAACAGAAATCCAAAAAAATACTGGATAAACAATTAAATTAAAATTAAATAGTATATCAACAAAAGTAAACAACAACAACTATCAAATCTACAACTAAAATGTCTCTAAAGTTCTAAACAAAATAAAACATACAAAAAATATCTGATATATCTCTGAAGTCCTAAAAGAAGTAAAACATACAAACAACAACTAGTATGCCTCTAAAGTCCTAGCAAAATCATCATCAACATCAGGGTCATCATCCTCGGTCTGTGTGCATCTTCTCTATATTTTAACATTTCAATACTTGCAATACTATGTACGCCATTAGATTATCATGAAATGAATGTATTAACATATCATAGATAAGCAAATTTCATATATTCACGATGCAGTGTTGCAACCTTTAATATTTTAATATTTTAACATTTGTTAGACCCAACTTAGTTTCTTTATCTCTTATCGCTTGACCATGTGAAAAACTCCCTTGAAGACATCTATTTCCATCTATTCTTAATGTGATTGTTTCTCGTTTGAAACTTTAAAATCATGGTTTTAGGCAACAGTTACAAGTATGTTTTGTCTTTATAAATTATTACAAATATTTTACGTAATAATTGAAACTTGAAAGGTTTCTTAATCATAACAATAATAATAAGCCTCCAAAGTTTCCTAAAGAAATGCATAAGGGGTTTAAGGGAACTAGTTAAGGTACTTAAATAAATAAAATTATAATTAACTCTTCAAGTTGGTTTATTAATACTTACTTGTATATACGGTTGCTGCTTCCTGTGCTGAGTTGAAGTGCAGGTCCAGTAATTCGTTGTCTTTAACTATCACTAAGCCAGCAATAAACAATTGCAAGCCCACTTGTTTATACGTCTCTTGCAAGCCAAGGTCCTATAACAGAATTTATATGCAATCCAAGGTCCTATAGAAAATCAAAAAAATATAACAGCATGGAATCAAATATGAGTTGGAGCTGGCTTGAACGGTGGTACCACTAACTGAAAATGGTACCACTAAACATAGCCCATTTTTTCATATATTGAAATATGCTGAAAAAATATTACCAAACTAGAACACAATAATTAACAAACATATATATGGTCACTGATGCCACTAGGTAATGATTTAAGGTAATCCAACAACATGCATACCCGGTGAGTATTGGACAGCAATGCTTTTACTCACAACTGGTTTCTGATGAGAGCCCTGCCAAAACCAAACCATAAGACAACAAAACAAACAACCCAACAAGGCATGAACAGCAACAACACTTAAAAGATAAGGTACTTCAAAGCTCAAACATAATTATGACAAACCCAAAATATGTAGATAAAAAAAAAAAAAAAATCCCTCACAATGGAAAGTAGAAAGTTGAAAATAGGTACCGATATGCAGATATTAGATTTATATTACCCAAAATATGCGCATGCAAACATAGCGGCTAAAGCCCTCTTGCTCCTTGCCAACTCATGCCATTGGGGACAACATGTCCCTCAAACACATTAACACTTGAAACAGAGATGAACCCTGTTGTGTCATCTAGTTGGGACACATGCTAGATGGTGGGTACCCCTGTGGGGTCGTCCAAGATGGTTGTCTTGGGGGCACATATTTGGGACCAATCATGGACACGGTGAGGGACCACAAAAGTTGGTGAAGAACATTAACATATCTATAAAAAGTTAAAAGAAACTCACGCTTCAGTGGAGTAAGAGACAGGAATGGAGATGCCTCCGAGCTTCAATTCAACTGAGGCAACACAAGGTTCACCATCCCTTTTCTTGCGCTTCGAGGAAATGCTAATCTCCACTGGACCAAACACAGCTTTGTACAAGAAGGGGAACCCTAGCTTTCAAGATATACAGAAGAAGGGGAATGATAGTGAAAATGGTACCTTGACAAAAATGGTGGCTTACCGGCGGTCCAAATGAAAGAGACGAAGTCAGAGACAGAAGGGGAACCCTAGCTTTCTTCACCCAATCAGAGAGAGATGAAGTGAGAAATTAAAATTTAAAGGGGAAAGCCCTAAACCAAAAGTTGGATCCCAATAAGTGGAAATTGCACAAATTTTAGGAGGGATAATTAGAATTTTGGGAAAATTGGTACAATTTAATAAAATTGGCCGGTGACATTTGTTCCAACTCTTCCTTTAGTCAAATTGGTAAATTGTGTAGCAACATAATGGGTCCACCATGGAGGGCAAGGTTTCGATTCTTGCCTCCATGTACTTTTACAATATTGTATAATTATTTTTAATGTATAATCTTAATATTGTATAAATATTTTTAAAGTATATTCTTAATTATATGTATCTTTAATGTATAATAATAATTGAAATTT